GATCCTGACTTGAGCAAGTGCTTAGCCTGGGCAGCTGTTGATGACTTTTTGCTGTAATAAAACAGGCGGAAAAAAAAAAAGAGGATGAGAAGAAAGCACCACAAATGAAAAAAAAGAAAGAACTCTGATTCATGAATGAGAAAACACTGATCTTGGCTGTGTTACAAAAGTAATATTTTCACTAGAATGAACTGTTCTCAAACAATTTCTCCAATATGTTAGATACAAACAAGTTCTCCTTCAGTATTAGGCAGGCAGGTCTTCTCTTTCCACCTTTTTTTTCAGTTCCAAAACTAAAATTATTGTGGCCAAGAATTTCTTTAAAAATCTCAGCCTCTGTTTGCATTTTAGCCGTGTTTCTCTCTCATGGTATAGCAGAGCGGTGACGCAGGATGGGATCTCATTTCAGAACAATATTTTTTCTCTATCCTTCTCTTTTAATAGTCCCTTGCCATAGAGAAACTACTAGCATTTAGCCGGGTTCCCTGCCAATAGTACTCAGTTTTGGAAATGAATGATATTTTCTTCGTCTGATGGTGATATTAGTAACTCAAAGAAATACTTATGCTTTGGTAAACTCAAGAGTAATCAATAACATATTATGGATTACTTAAACCACAAGTGAGCATATCTGCCCGGGGAAGGAAATGTGGCACTTGTCATACAGTGGTTAGCTGCAGAAACACTCTCAAATTTAGACAAGCAGCAAAGACCCAAATCTGACTAACGCTACAAGGGCGAGGTAGGCAGGTGAATCAAATCCAGTCAACTCTTAATCTTAATTAATCTTCCTGCTTTTGTAGACAAAAATTAATAACCGCATATGATGGAGGCCACTGTCTTACACTGGTGAGGAAATCCATAGCAGCTTTTATCTGAATGGATATAATTCTATCTGTTTTTATGGGGAGGTTGAATAGGGCCCTCTAATTGCAAGAGCACTATATTAGGAACTTATTTCACTGTTAATCAGATAAGGCACATGTGAAATTAGCACCGCTGCTCTTGAGATGAGCCTGACAGCCCTTTTAAATAAAGATTTTGTATGTAAAAATTACACATTTCCTCATTATTCTGGAAAAGTGGCACTAACAGTGAACAGCTTCCTATCAGATAACAAAGTACAGATTCTAACTGCATTTTGGGGGTGGTTGGAAGAATTACTGGGGAAATTCTTTTGCTCTACTATTTTGGCTCTCTTGACATCTATATTAGGGAGGCATAACTAGAAACGTATGTGCTATGGTTCAGACTACCTTAAGGTCTAGCAGTGAATATAGGGTTAAAATTCCTTTGTTACAGGAGAGAACAGGAGCTTTATCCACCCTCTCCAGAATGACAGCAGTCTAATGGGACTTACTGAATTAGAAAGCTAGAAATAAATAGACCTAGTGCTTTCATTTGAATTGCTAAAAGGGGTTAAACTGATATCCCTGGCCTGATACTGTCTTGGGTTGTGACACCTTACAAACATGTTTGTTTAAATGCCAAGACTTTCATCAGCTGAAATTCTAAACAARCCAATTCATTCATTGTTTCTAAGTAATAACCTTGTTCGCATTTATTCCTATGATGATTTTTACAGTGTTTAAAAAATGGCATTCAATTCTGATATTGAAAAAATTCTAAACATCAGAACTACCGCACCAAAACTCTTCTAGGATTATACAGAACCACCTGAACTATTTTCCTGATTTCCTGGCTTCTGACCTTAGAAGCTCCATAAAGCAAGCGCTCTTACTAAGAATGAATTTGATAATATGTGCTAAAAGTTTGACAAGAAATTGGCTAAGACCCACTACATTAAACTCATTGCCAAGATCTCTTTTCAGTAGATATAATTCCTATTTATTACTTGAAATATTTAGCAACTAGAGAAAGTCTTAAAATGTATTTTGAAGAAGACAGTATTTCTAGAAATATCTTAGTGTCAATTTTTTTTTTGAGTATTTGGTTTCCATGATAACTATCAGTTCAGCTCCGTCCCTATCTTTTTCCAAAAAAAAAATATTTTCAGTGTTGAAAAAATGTGATATGCATAATACTTTTGCAAGAAAAGGACACATTTCAGTCCTAGAAATGCTAGATTTCATTCTGATCGTGTAAATGATTTGAAGCCAGCAGATCTTGACTTTAAAACAGTCTGCAACCGTTTGATTGAAGAAAGGTTTGTCATGATGGATCCAAAGCAAATTGCTGAAGCTTTAGGAGATTTCAAGATGAAATGGTATGTATGAAATGATTGTATGTTCAAATTGAAAAACACTTTTGTCAGATCCATAAAATATGGCTTTGCAGAATTTTGGCTAAAGTCTCACAGTGTTGGGTACCACTGATCTACCATACTTTTTTCCTGGCCCTGTAATAACAAAAGGAATAGTGGCACTTAACATTACTGTAATGTAGCATTTTGCATCGTCAAGCAATAAACACAGGGTAGAAAGTGTGGCATAAGTTCAAAAAAGTTGCATTGTCCACATGTTATTTAGCACAAAATTTCATTGGAAATATCTGAAGCACAATAAAGTTAGCATCACTATGAACAGAAACAGCACATGAGGTATGTCAGTAAATTTAAGAAAGTGGAAAAAGGAACACAAAAAACTATGTGCTCAGGTAAATATCTTTTACCATATAAAGCTAATTAAGCATTTCCTGCCTTTTCATATGCAATCATCATTATGGCAAGTTCAATACACAAGTCAACTCAAGCAGTATCCTGGATAAAATCTGTATTTTGATGTACATGAAGTCAAACACAGTGCACAGAGCACCAGGTGCCAGGTTCTTACAGCTATACACAGATCAGAATGCTAAACTTTAGGGTGCAGGTCTTACTCAAGTGTTCAGCTGGACAAAGTTCTTGCCTGGCATAATTTTTTGGCAATGGACCAGGAAGGACTAGAAGCCAATTTAATATTCTAGGCATAAGAAAAAATGGAGGTCAATGGAAACCTAAGCAATGCAGTGAGTGGAACAATTTAATCATATATGCCCATATATAATTATAAAACATAGCTCAATCTGCAGCACAGAGAAAGGGAATTAGAGAATTTCTACCGAAACACAGTGGAATAGAAAATGAGCCTTCATGTGTATTTAAATATGCATACATTTATATAAATAAACACATATTTCAGTAAGTATATATAAAACAAATCTACATAGATATATATATGAGAAGACATATGGATTTTATATAGGTATATATGAAATAAAACAATAAAAATGTTATCATATTTGAAAAGTAGCACTGTTAGTGCAGCAAGAAGAGTTTAAAAACTCAGGGTCATAGCAAATATATAATATTTATAGCTTTTTTATGTTAAGACATTACAGTTCTGAACAAAATCAAAACATTGATATAGATAAGTATTTGAATACTGCTTCTCATCTTATTTATATGTTAATTTCATATTACAAACATTACTAAAATACAGTGGAATTTCAGATCTTCTCCATGTTGGCTTAACCCATCTGTTATTGAAATCAATGGGAAATTCTTTCAAATGTCCCACTTACAAGAGAACAATTTCACCAGCCCATCCTTGTCTCCAAAAGCCAGAGTTCCAGTGCAGTAGCTTGCTGTTACGATTTAAATATTTCCATAAAACCAAATGTCAGAGGATTTTCTGACAGTAGAATATGCAGTGAAAATTGAAAACATGTTACAAACAGACTGAATTACTGTATAATGAGGATTTCCAAGAAGGCAGCTTCGAGGCTAGTCAGCATTTTAAAGATGCAGGAATAATAAACAATGGGATTGTTCATGAAATTGCTTCCCAATAAATATGAGTCTGTTAACATGGAGCCAATTGACCTCAACTTTTTATGCCTTTTCAATATCCTTCTTATCAAAAGCAGTAAATATGAAAAATATCAACCAACATGAACTTTTGAAATAGTATGAAACAAACAATACTATGGAAATCCCTGCCCACAGACTAACAAGTGCATTTGGCTAAGCACAGAAGTATATAGTATTTTTCAAGTACTTCTCATTGCAAACATTCATGTTCTTTTCTGTGAAATGGGAACACACTAGTCTGATCCCGAGCTTAGTCTCTTCATGTAAACTTACTCACCAAGCTCCATTCACTCAGAAACCTGGAGTTAAAGAATACTATGTGATGAAATACACAGAAATCCTTCCATCTTCCTCTGCTATTTTTGCGTTGCATTCCCCCATGCAGAACCTTTACCATGCCCCAATGGTGTACTTCACTTAACTGAACTGTAGCGAGAGGACATTTTAGGACTTGATTGACCTCATCAATCTGATTGCCCTGCTGCTGGCAGTAAAACAGGATTATGTTTAAGAAGCTGGTAACAAACGGGTTCATTAAATTCTTTTATTTCTAGCTAAGAGTAAGTGTGCACTCTTACAAATTAAAGTACTAGTGGAATTGTTGGAATAGATGATATTGATAAAAGTTTATAGACATAAATTGTTTTCTGTTTTAATTTGGCTAAGGAGTGGAGCCAGCCTTCCCAACTTTGCTTACTTTGGACAAGAGCTGTCAGACAGTGCAGTGAAATTATTTAGGAACCTAACTCAACTGCTGATATAATCTACCAAATAATGTTTTGTCACTGGAACAAAAAGTGATATACGCACAGTATTCCATGGAGAGACTGACTGGAAATTCCAAACTCTAATACTTTCCTTGGAAATGCTCCTGTAATTTCAGTAAACATAAACCTTGAAACAATCTTGAACTTACCGTGACACAACTGTAAATAGTTTTTTTCATGCATAAGTTTGTACACGAGAGTAAATAACTACCAATTACTATCTCCCCACACAAATTCTAACTTGAGGGCTGAAGCTGTTCAGGTGAATGATTTGAATATAAGAACTTAATCCTGCCGTTTTATTAAGGTCATGAAATATAGCAGAAACCCAGACTGAAAAGAGTTGCAAGAGTAGGCCATCAAATACCTTCATCTTATTATACCATATATGATGCACCTCAGGAAAGTCCAAAGTCCTTATATCACATCATCTTCCAGAGTGATCTCCAGTCAAGTGCAGTTGCTTTTCTTTCCTATGAGATGACAGATAATACTGTATTTAGATGTGAAACATGTATACTTGATTGATCAATCACAGAATACAATAGAGTTTTATAAATCAAGCTCCTAAGCTGTGCCATGGATGCATTTTAAAGGACAACACAAAGGTAGTCACCTTAGCCCATCTGCCTCTGAAATGTGAATATCCACTTCAGACTTCTTAGGCTTAGAACTTTATCTGTGATCATGCTTCACTCCCAGGGCCATTCCCAGATCATGTAACCATTCAATCAGCATGTTCCTATGACTATCCTTACTGTGTCTTGCGCTACAGAAGGTATTTAATCAAATGATATTTATATTGAGCTTTTATCAACTATATGTATAATATATATATATAAAATACATAAATTTGCTATAAATATAGCAAATACATTTGTTTTCCTTTATTTCTCCTTAGTTATTGTTTCTTGAGATACCTAATCCCTCTAACAGTTTATCGGAGCAATGTGGAGGATTGTTTTCTGACTTGGTAACCTTGTAGTTGATAGAAAAAAAACTACCTAAGCAAAACTGTGACAGCAAGAAAGCAAATACGCAGCATTATGTTGTTATTCATAACCACTTTGTGCAAATCATGCTAATATATAACAGAGCACGTAGCAGAAAAATTAAATCTCCAGCCAGAGCCTAGATACTCCTGAAGTGCTCAGAGACACTTTACACAGACCGCCCCCCGCCCACACACACTTAAATATTTTTGTTATGCTACTATTTCATGAGTAGTAAGGGGTGGGGAAACTTTGGTTCCTCTTCTTGCCATAACAAAAGCCAGTCATAAAATACATATACAAACATCTAGTTACTCAGATCTACAAAACTGTGGTCCATGACACATGGAAATGTAAAGTTTCATTTTTTAAAATACTGTTTTCATAAGGTTTAATGCTTCCAGAACTTGCTTCTAAGAACAACAGTACACATCAACAACAGCAAGAAGCCATTACCTACAGTGGCCATCAATCAGAAACAATAGTTGGAACGAATACCAATATAGCCTTGATACTTAGTCAGTGTGACATCATGTTTTTACTACCATTTACCTTCAGCTCCAAACTCCAATTATTAAAAGCATTATGACAGAAGTTAACATCATACTCCATATCAGGTGCTAATCTAAAGATTGTCCAACGGTGGCTGACGCAATATTTCAGAATTCTTAGTAGCTGACACTAAATATACTGAGGTCATGATGTTTTTCCTATAGAGTAATTATTCATAGAGCATTTCTTTTATCAATAAAACTGTTGAAAATAAATTTTTGTATGTTGCTAAATATTAATGAATTTAGATTTTTAATTATATTAATGTCTCTTTAGAAGTGTTTTATTATGAAAGACTGATTAAAATTTGTATTAATAGAGCCTTACATCTGCTAGTACCACCCATCTTAGATCAGACTCCCATTATTTCAGCACAATTTTCAGTGATTTTCTCTCTTCTCAAGGAAATAGGTATTAGAGATTTATTCAAAATACCTAAAACTGTTTTAATATAAAAGTTATTTGTTCTCTAATTTGCATATTGTTGTGTCTTTTTAGCTGCCAATTTTATATCAAAATGATAAATAAAGTCTCTTAAAGGATTTCTTTCAATTAAACTTTGCTTCAGGGTGGTCCTGATTTCAGTCAAAACTAGAAAATCGATGCTTGATTTCAAAAGCATAAGCCACATCAAGCTACACAAAAATAAGTCATTCTAACATATTCCAGAGTTTCACTGATGTGCATTCATGGCATGTTACACATTTTATTAACTGTTTATATATTTTAGTACTGTATTTCTAACAATCTATAAAATTTTTGGAAATGTGGCTATAAGAAATAACGTAGTTGACATGGCCTTTAATTTCTTCTTCTCTCCAGTGTAAAATTTGCCAATGATATATCTGACAAGCGAATACAACATGAAATTTTTGCAAAAATATACGGTTACAGAATATTCTAAAACATTCAAGCTGTTAATGTAATCACAGTGAGAATAATTTTTAAAATTATTTTTAGTCAAGTGTCACTAAAAAAAAAAAAAGAAGAGTAAGAAGAAATCAAACTAGAAATTTAAGACATCAGCAGACAGGAAAAGTACTTTAATGCTGGAATACAAAGAAAAAGCGTAATGTTTTCCAGGTCATCTTAAGATGTAAAGTTATATTGAAAGAAAATGTTTTTGCGAAAATGTGATGGGTTTCACATGAGTTGTAATGTTTGCAGATATTTATTCCAGATTTGTCAGAAGAATAGATATCAGAAGTTACCATGCCCCTTTCTTCTTGGGACGGGATTTATCGATCTGTTGAAATCAGAACCTACGATCAGATCAATATAACCAATATCATAAATACCTTTGATTTGCCCTAGATCCATTTGCAACTGCATAGAAAGTGAAATAATACCCGTTAGGATTTGTTGATATCTTTTCAGTGTGCAGTAAACATATTTTCTGGTATAGATTTTAATTCATATTTAATAATCTCGGTCATTATATTTGAAAATTAATCTCTCATCACTTACAACCATGAAGTACAGAAAAGCCATCTTAAAATACAAAGTAGTCCTTCATTAAGAGATAACCAAGTCCTCCCTCCTTGTTCTCTTTCCCAGTATGAAGACCAGCAACTTACTAGTGGATATTTTCATGTTTTGATAACTAGAGGTGCTGAAATCCACTCTGAATTTGCCCATCGTAACTCTCTGTATCTATATATTTTACTAGTATGTCTGAAGTACAGTGTATTCTTCTATTTGAGCTCAGCAGTTGTCCATTATTTGAGACCCATATTTCTACTGTAATTTAAAAAAGGTTAGCCCCTTCAGAAAATTATTCCTAGCCCCCTCACAGATGACTCCAAAATATGAAGAGATATGAAGAAGTTGGAATACAACAGCATAAAAAAGGAATACTTTATAAGATAAAGCATTCCTATCACCATATATACATGATTCATAGCTTTAACACAAGATAGAAAACGCTCATCTGAGTTTCAGAAATAGGTCTGAAGATACATGTAAGCATATACTGTATGAGTGCATATTTATTTGGACATAAAAATGCATTTGCTTTTTAGGCAGCTGTGTTTCTGGCTATCAGTTCAGAATTTAATACTGTGCTTACTGGCGTATTACTGTATGCCTTGTGAGATGGAGAAACTAATTACATTCCCCTACAAAACTACAATTGTACGTATCCAGAGGTGACTTTCAGAAGTAGCCCGTATATTCCCATGGAGGTCACAGAAGACCACAAAATAGAATGCAGCCATTTTTATTTTCATTACACTGACATCCCTTTATCCGTTGTGATAGTGATTTATTTTGTAGCTTTTATGTTCTGCTTCCTTTGAATAAATGTATTGGCTTCAGTAGGAGGTTTGATAACATGATCAAATGGAGCATGTGATCAAAAACTTCTCTTTTTTTTTAACTCTTTTAGATGAAATGTGTTGAAGTTTGCACCAGGTACTGGAAACATTTGGCCACAAATGCTCATATTTAAACTGAAAGTGTTTGTGCACAATCAGATAATCAAGCCTCTGAATGGATCAATCACATAACTTACCAATAGCACTTTCAACTTGGCATCCAGAAAACTAAATGTTGTATTTTAAAGAATCCAGGTTCTCTGGATTTAAACAGCATTGTTCTGGAAAGATCTGGTAAGTTTTATGGTAAGTTTTCAGAGACAGTACAAAAAAGGAATTGCAGCATTTACTGATATGTATGAAATATGTATTACCAGTTTATGGTTTGCCACAGTTTGTAGAGCAATAAGCCCATGTGTTTATAATGTACCCAAATAAACATTTAGCTTACTTTTTTTTTGTCAACTGAAATAGTTTCTCCAAGCATCTTTTTTAATAATTTAGCTTACCATATTATACTCTCTGGGAAAGCAAATATTAGAGAATTTAATATACACTTCATTTTCAGTGAAATGAAAGAAACAGAAACTGTGTGTCATTTTTCTGTTATTCTAATTTACTTCAAAATCATAACATGAAGATTTAGAATAAGAGATGAAAAACTCATAGACACTGTAATGTTATTGCTTCAGCAAGTATCTAACTCAAAATAATTGAAGCTGGTAGTTATGCATATAGAAACAGATTTCAAGAAGTATTACTTACTATTTGACACAACTATACATCAAGTTGCTGAACACTGAAGAACTGTTCTCTCATCATCTATGCCAGTAATTAGTAATTGCATAGCATAGCATGCACAATTTCCTTCAGTTCAAATGCTGCCAAAAGAAATAAGGAACACTTTTCCAGATAGAAACTACAACCGTATGTCCCATGATATAAACAGAGAAGCTCCTGACATGCTCATGAAAAATGGAAGGCGAGTTACATTCAAGTAGCAAAACTTAACTCTGAACAATATAAGCCCTTTGCAGTTCTTAACGACAGTCTCAAAAAAACAGCCTAAAAGAACAGAAAGTAAATAAAGAGCAATAAGTTTAACCGGGGGAATTAACATATCCCAAATGCACCTGAAGATATTTTTTAGGTCTTACGTAAAATAAAACTACATGATCAGTTCTCTTAGAGACACACAGGAAGCTCAGAAGGGTGAAACRCAACGTACCTACTCATACAGAACAAGTCCAGCGTCGGCCTGGGGCTGACCACATGCCCAGAGGAGCTCCACAGTATAAGATCACACAGGTGTCTGGGAACTGTCACACAACCAAGAGATGCTATCTCAGCAGGGCAGTGGTGCCAGAATTGGTTGCCTAAAGACTCTCAGCTCTCCTCCTGAGTGGAACTCACACCGGCGTTCATAGTATCTGCAGCTCCAAAAACTTTCTGCTGCRAGTGGAAGGTGTAAACTAGATTCTCAGCAGCAAATCTGCTTTACACTGAAGTCTCTAGAATCTGCAGCCATATTCATCCATTTTTTCATCACTGAGGAACATCACTTTCCCCTGTAGCATCCATATAAAAAGTTACAATTACACTTCATAGTGGAAA